CATGCAAATGATAATCAGCAGTCATTACATTGGTATATGGTCTTCATGGGAGCGGACTAGTGGCTCGTTAATTTACATGGTTGATGTGGTGTGCTTGGCGACAAGAACGCACGATGACCGACAAGTCTTCCAACGTGGTAGTAGAGTGGAAGTCTGGCAGTCGATGCGGTACATCATAGCCGTACATATATACGAAGTGCTGGGTCTTTAATCATCGATCGAGGGATGACCTTAGACCTGAGAGCAACTCTGATATTCGCTGAATTCATAGTCCCTCCGTGAGTTTCGCTTTTTGGCCCGTGAACGAGGCAAACTCTGGCCAAAACCTGGTTCCGTCGAAACGGGAATTTTCGTGTCTAAACAGTTCAAGAAAATGCCTTCCATCATTAATCATGCCTACCACGTCGTCAAGTTTGTGTAAACTGCTGCGGTTTTGTGTAAATGATTCACTTTCAACGTTCAGCACTCGTTCTTAAGCGTTTGCAAATGGGAATAACACCGATGTAACTACGTCCTCTTCGCTGCTGAATTGTTGCAGATTGTGTCGTTTATAGTTCAGACGTTTTGCATATGCGCAAATCGAACAACATTCGTTTGTCCCCAACAAAACGCCGTGCAGTTGCTTTACCTCCACAAACTGTGAGAATAATTTCCGCGATATCGTCAATAACAGAGGTGTCAAACGTATATATGAGAGACCGTGATATTATTGACGCGAGTGCCTCCAGGCAGACGCCAATATATGTCATTCGTCTTATATAATCGGTATTAATTATAATTGTACTTTCAATATCGTTGACGTCTTTTACCAGTGCGTCGAAGCCTGTCAGCTCTTTGGCAACCGTCTGTTATCCGATGATGCACTTGGGTGTTTTTCAGCATTGCAAATCGTTATTTATTACAAACATCTGCATAAAACCAATGAATGCTACATTTTGTGATATTTCTATTCTCCTGTGCAGTTTATGTTTTATGTTTGTTTTTGTTAATGGTTGCATTCAGAATGCCTGCCCTACCCCAGTTCCTCGCAACCCACGTTGTCCGGAACTGAGGCGAAAATAGTGTGTTTCTCCCTGAATGAATTCCTGTTCAATATACCGTCGTGAACGCCAATTAAAAAGTTGCCATGAGATATTCGTCGTCGCTCCGGGCTACCATTTGGCTAAGCCGTCCTCGAAACTCTGAATGGAACAGTTTGGGGCGGCCTTGTAAACACGATTGATCAACAGTTTTGTCGCGACGTGTTTGAATCTATATGACTGTAGTGTGGCCACGGTGATCCACCGTATATCCAACCGAACCACAATACAGTCAACGGGTTTCGCATGTGTGAATCAAAACACAACCGTTCATCGAAAGATCTATGAGAAGCACGGACGAAGGAAGTGAGGCAGTTGTGCGTGAAAAAAATTTCTTCCTTCAACGATAAAACAACCGATGTCATACAGAAAGTACTCCAAATCTGAAATTGCCGCTAAAACGCGAACTAGCAACGTTTTGTTTATGTTTAAATGTCATTATGACAATCATAACTAATACTTTGCGGTTCTTGCTTAGCATATCTTCATAATAAATAAATTAGCGTTGCTGTATATTATCGCACAATAGAACACATACTCTTGATGAATATGACGGTACTTTAAATCACAGTAGCACTACACTTTAAACAAAGCTCTAATGAAATTACAAACATAGCAGGGAAGTGAATTCCAACTGGTTCGGAGTTGAAGGTTTATGCGCTGTATTTGTCTATGTCCTTTAATGGATTAGAAGAAACAGCACCGTTCAGCCATCTTAGACTAGTGAGAATTTTTTCCATCAAACCGTTCATCGAGGTGGCCGTAGGTCTGCGAAGCCCGTGTGTTTGTCATTGTTGTTGTGATCGCCATCTGGGGCATCAAGGTCGAGGATAGAGTATCCAGACTAATGACGTCTAACGCTTCTCAGAATGATTTTGGTAATGTTGGTTGTCCTGAAGAACTAGGTTCCGGAAGGATTAAGGCTCAGTGCCTCTGCACAAAAGACGGGTCTTACAAAATTTTTAGTCATGTTCAAACTATTCCAGAGCCACAAAATTAAAACTAATCTATTATTAGTTATCATCAGATAGGTGGGTAAAAATTTTTGCTCAAGCTCAAACTCTTCCAGAGCCACAAAACTGACGCTCATCAATTATTATTTCTTATCAGGTTAATATCGCTATGTGGAGACAAAAACCTATTCAACTTAAGCAGGCGATGACTTTTCTTCTTGTTTTCTCCCTGCTATTCTCCGCCTTATTTTTTTTCACTGTTCCATGTTCAGTTCGTTAATAATTGCCCGCCAAGTCGGATAAACTTTGTAAACGAACGAATATATGAGAGAGTCCTATAGAATTCATTATAGCGCCCCTGGAATTTTGTTCATGCTGGTTATTCTTCCTCGATTCTGTGCCGATCGAGTCAGAAGGTAATTCCAAAAGTCCCCATGTGTTAAAAATTCTGGATGATGATTTATTTGCAGTATTTGTCAAGTGCCGGCTGAAATCCACAAATTCCTGTCTGCAAATGCAATACCATAGGTAACGAAGTAACACTTGCTGTTATCATAGCCATGTCGGACTAACGGCATTATTTGGCAGATGAACAAAATTTCTAGAAGACTGGACAACACCTGAACGAACTGGAAATAGGAAATGTAAATCCCTGGTCAAACACGCGCTCCAAGACTGATCGCCAAAACGTCTGGTGCGAATCAGCAGTCGGTCAAGCAATATAACACATTTCATTGGTAAATATTTCATTGGTAAATTCACTCATCCCAAATTCAACTGTCAAACTATAATACAGGAATAGGATCTTGGATTCAGAAGAATTAGTGACTCGTCTTTAATCATTAACTTTGATTGACTGGCAGCGCCTTAGGAAGAAAGTGCAAAAAAAGTGTGCAACAATCTTTTAAGACGGATCGAGAACGAAAACCTTGGTGACGAATGCGT